ACACACCACACACACACACACAACACCACACACACACACACACACACACACACACACACACACATTCCTCATATGCATGGATAAGCTTCATTGCAGAGAGTGGGGCTGTTTCCTAGACTTCCTCTCTCTCTGCACCCATGCACACACATAAACGTACAAGATGCAAATGTGCGCGCAAACACACACACACACACATTCATTCTCTATTGCTCTTCCCTCTTTATTTCCACATCACTCTGACTCAGTCATGCAATCGTGTGCAGGAACCTATGAACTCACATTCATTCATACATAGAAGCACTTGACACACAAGACCTTCCCACGCACACACACACACACCTCCTCTGAGCTTATCTCAGTGCAGTGTAGAGCAGCTTTTGAAGGCAGTAGGGAGCCAGCTGTTGACGAGCCACTTACTAATTCCCTTGGACAGGCATGAAATGCTCTCTTTTTCTCTCTCTGTCACTCGTTTGGTCTCCTTTGCACTCTCTCTAATATTCTGCTTCCTGCTGTGGTTAGTTTATCTCCTTTTTTTCCACATTCTCTTTTTTTAAATGTGTTCCTCTTTGTTTCATTTTACTCTGCTCTCATTTATTCTGCTCTCTGTGATTTGTTTTATTACGGAGCCCCCATAGAGAGAAAAAATAAATAAAATGTGGCCACGTTTTACTTTCTCGTGCACACGCTTTAGTAACTCGTGCGCACGAGTTACTAAAGCGTGGCGCACGAGTTATTAAAGCGTTGCGCACGAGTACTAAAGCGTGGCCTCGTTTTATTTAAATTGAGGGATTCCTGTCCGTGACTCACAGTATCTGCTGCCCACAGCTGTTTTATAGAAGGAAACCTCCTTCACTTTATGAAATCTCTGCGGCACCAGTGGCCTGTACTACGAAGCAGGATTGGGCTATTTACACTATTCCATTCATGAAGTATGACGCTGCGCTGTCAGCACTAGTCTCCATGTTGTGATTGGTCAAATGTTGCTAACCCCGTCCCTTTCACCTGAGCGCGCTCTCAGCCGGACAGAGAAACCCTGGTTGATTTACTGAGTTGATAACCAGCTTCGTAGGACCGCTTATCGACATCACGTTTGTTAGGGTCAGTTAAGCCGGGTAAATCGAACATGTCCAGGTCCAGGGTCTGTTGAACTGGCTTCGTCGTACAGGGCACTGGAGGCAGGTAACGTAACCCAGCAGAATCTGAGAAGAGCAAGCACCAGCTGCAAAGAGCTGTGCCTTTTACTGTTTACTACTTCACTGCGAGATTGAGGCTGCTACGTTTAACCACACACACCTATACACACATCGAACTACCAGAGTATTCCCCCTCGCTTTATGAAGGAGATGTCCTGTCACCGAGGCGAATGATGTGTGTGTGTGTGTACTCAGCTCCGCTCTGTGTGCGTGTTTCGTGTGTATCACCGGCATTTGTTTCAAATGACCACGAACAGCACACGCACACACACACACACAAAACAAGGCCACGCTTTTGTTAACTCGTGCGCATGCTTTAGTAACTCGTGCGCACAGCTTTAGTAACTCGTGCGCACGAGAAAGTAACTCGTGGCGCAGTTACAAAAGCGTGCGCACGAGAAAGTAAAACGTGGCCACGTTTTATTTATTTTCTCTCTATGAAAACCCTCCAGGGCTCCGTAGTTTATGTATGTTCTAGTTAACTCCATTTGTTGTTGTAATAAAGGTTAATAGGGTTCATGAAACGATGTGCTTGTTGAGTAAAGCAATAGCTAATACGGCAGATTTCTGAACATGCAGTCAACATCCATTCAACCTACTCTATAAGATGACTGTCACAGGTTAATCTCTTGCTGTTATCATTAGCAGTATTGTATTATTTTTTATCTGACTCTCCTCAGGGAATCCGTTAGTTATGATTAAACAGGGATATCATTTAATCACCTCTAAATACTTATTGGAGATGCTTATTCACCAACAATAGTGTTTGTCGTGTTAAACGCAGAGGGAGAGTCACAAACTGAGGTCAGCTGATGTGCGTTAACCCGTGCTTCAAAGAAATCCCTTTGAATGGTAATTGAGGCCCAAAGTAGCACAGCAATCATTTGTTCTGCACTTATTTACGCTTTGTGATGTAAGGGTTGTTTTATTATTGTTTCATATCTGTTAACTTTCTATCCAAAAGGTAACATGCTAGCACTAGTTAGCCTGCAAAGATCTAATGTTAGCATTATGAATTACTAGCATTGCTCACCAATTTTAAGTGTTCCCTCAAATCTTCGAGTTAAAAATCACGTCTTTGTGGTGAAGATGGATTCTCTATTGCTTTTGAATTGTCCATCTTTGGTGGCGTTTTTTTGTTTTTAACCATTTCTGCCACTATTAGGATTCTGTACAAAACATCTCTGCTGGTAGAACCTTAATACAGATAGAGAAAAACTGAACACGCAAAGTAAAAGTACTTATTAGCCACTACTGTTACCCAGCCTCTAGTTAAAGCAATAAAAATAATGTAAGGTTTTTGCAGGAGGTAGCAATAAAATGTGTTCTATTTACAAAACTACACATTTCCCCGCTTGTTGTTGTTTCTTTAGCCTGTGGTGCAAAAGCAGAGATGGAAACATGATGATATCTGTAGCACTACTAGCCTCCAAGAGACTACTGCCCCGGGACACACACACACACAAACACACACACACACACAGACATTTTAATATACATTTACGATATAGGCTACATACTAACAAAACACTTCTTAATGTTGCTATCCCCCCATCTGCTCTCCTCTCCCCAAGGCAAAATCGTCATTATTTTTTCTCGGCACCTCTATTTTTTACGTGCCCTTCATCTTCCTCTCCTGCGTTCCCTCTTTCATCTGTGTATGCTTTTAATCCTGTTTGTCCCCATGTCTCCTCCTCCTCACCTGTATCTCACCTTGAACCTGCAAAACTATCTTCTATATTATCTATTTCTGATTTCAGAAAACTGAGCCGAGTTTAAGAAAAAGAGAGGAACACATATAATGGTAGCTCTGTGTGTGTGTTGTGTGTGTGTGTGTGTGTGTGTGTGTGTGTGTGTGTGTGTGTGTGTGTGTGTGTGTGTGTGTGTGTGTGTTTGAGAGATCTCATCAGGTAAAGGTCACAGTGGTGTGTGGCAGAGAAGAATAGGGCATTAGGCCACTAGTCGCTGGTCACATGCGCTTAAACCCTTGAGTGTCGTGCTAAGTGTGAGTGTGTGTGCCTTAGAGGTCCTTTCTTGTTAGGGGCATTTGTGTTATGTGTGTGTACATGTCTGCGAGTGTGTTTCTCTGCCCTGGTGTGCTATTTTCACTTGTGAGATAAGCAACATTGTTTGCTCTGCCTTCTGTTTCTGGTTTGTTATGTGGAATTTAATACAAAGCATGTGCAGCTATGTCTGTTCATGTGTTTTACATGTATTTTTACATACATCATTAATGGTTTTCATCTCTTATCCTGATATAATGTGTTTTCGTCTGTCCTTGCTGAAAGCAATGTTGAAATGTAATTTACATCACTAGATTAACACAACATGTATGTGACGAATAAACATACTATTTATTTATTGAGACATAAATAGGTACATTTATCCCAAAGAAAACATGCATACATAATTTAAAAGTAACACAAATGCCAGATTAATCAGGACCTCTCAGAATAAAAGTATGATAATATATTATAGTTTTTTTGCAGTGGCGTAGCCAGGAATTATTGTGTGGGTGGGCCTGGAGAATGTAGGTGGGCCAGGAGGAGACTTATTAAGCGTGGGGGTCTGAGCTGACACTTCATTAATGACTTTAATAATTTTTAATGCCACTAATTGAACATAAGCATAAACTGATGGCCACTAGATGAACTGCCGTTTGTGGCACTTCCTTCTGGGCTTCCCAGCTCTGCGCTATGACGCGCTGATTGGCTGTGGGTGGGCCAGATGTGCATGTGTGTGGGCCCAGGCCCACCCACAGCTACGTCACTGGTTTTTTGGACATTAAAGCATGTGAATCTGAAAAGGAGCATGATATGTTTCTTCAGTAAAATATCTGCCAGTTAAAAAAGTATAACCAAAGTGCAAAACCCTCTCAAAGATACAAATAAAAACATTCATGTTAACCCAAGGGGCTGAACATTTTGGATTGAAACAATGTAAAAGCAAATTGTGTCTGAATGCATTCACTATGGACATTGCGAAACACTTCTTCTGTGCTTTCCTCTTCATCGCCTCGGTTGGCATCCTATACGCTCAGCTGAATTCCACCAGAGTTAAATAGCAGAATCACTCAAACATACTTGCCATCCAGAAACAGTGTGCCCGGAGAAACCCCCCATAATCACGCCTGTGCGAGTGCGTTGGCGGTGATAAATGCCCCCTTGGAAACTCAATGCCAAATAATCAAGATTGACGTTGGCAGATTGCACTCTGAGGTGTGTGTGTGTGTGTGGGTTGGGTTGTTTGTGCTATTTTCATTGGAAGGATCTAATCAAACGTACTGTAATCATGCTGATTACATTAATCGCAGAGTTTATAATCACAACGCTTTCTCTTTCTTCCTTCCTTTAAATCTCTCCCCTGGCCTTCGCTACTTGTTTATTCCTGTCTCCCGTGCTGCATCCATCACCAGAAATATGCTAAATCACTCATAGTTAGGTGTCAATAGAAACACTATTGGGGAGAATATGTTGGAAAAATAATGAGAAAACACATTTGTCAAAAAAAATAATTAGGATAAATGCTTAATAAAGAAGTTCACAATAATGTAATCAACTCAAGTCTTGTTTGAGCAAAAATTAAATATTGAAAATGTAATCAAAATTGTCTGCAAAAAGAGACCACCAGCTCTTTCAAGCTTTAAAAATATTGATTTCAGGGCTGTGGTAATAGAATAATATTATAAAAAAATACTTTGTAGACTATTAATTAGTACCAACAGGAACAAACTGCAAGTTGAAGAAGTTTCCTTTTCTATTTACTTTTTTACAGCAACATTTTCTCTCTCTTTCTTCCTCTCTGTAGGACACAGAGGTGGTGAACACAGCCATTCTCACCGGTCGGCGCGTCGCAATGCCCATCAAACTGGTTACCGTAGAAACCGACGGCAGGTGAGGGAGGTGGACAAACTCTGTCACCTGCAGCTCGACAGACGTGGACGTTCTCAAGGTACGTGTTCAGATTCCACACAGAGAGGAACACATACAGGGGAACTATTCTTGTATTAATTTCAACACACACATCTGCAGTATCACACAGGAATATTCATATACACAACAAATTAGACACGCTTATCTGAAGAAGACACATACTTAATAATTTAGCAGGTTGTCTTTTTAACTCTGTACATAACACAGCTCGATTTGAACTGATGTATATTGGTCTACATTGCTGCCAGCAGTGCATTTAAGGGAAAGACATTAAAGTAAACCAGTTGATATTTTTCTTTGTGATTGAACATGAAGTCAGTGGAAACATGGATTAAGAAAGCATTGCTCAAGAGTGTTGAAAATACGAACAACATCTAAAAAGTAAGACGGAAATTATAATTATGTGTGGAGGTAAACGTGGGGGTATTTTTCACAGCAAGGGATCCATCTTGAATCATCATTATAATCTGAAATATTGGAGGATTTGTGTTGCAACAGAGCATAATGAGACACTCATCACAGTGTGAAGGCTTTTTAAAATATCACTTTCTGTTTACGGAATGTTGTAGGATATGTTGGGAACTTTGCACCTTTTTGGACACAACATGCAACATATTTGTTTTTGTTTTATTCCTGGTAGACGGGGGGGGGAAGGGTTATTGTACATGTGGTTCAGTGTCTTGGTAAAGTAAAGCCGGATTAGTAAAATAACATGAACACATCTTAAACTCTGAATACACAGATTACTCTGCAACTGATGTGCATCTCAAGTCCCATCCTTACGTGAATGAATAAAATGTGTAAAGGTTCATGTTTTTCAGTTTCCAGGCAATATGGAAAAGTGTTGGTTAACATACTGCATCAAAATATTTGTATGAAGGCCATTACATTCAGCTTATTAGAAAGGGCCCTGTAGAGTTTTCTTGTAAACAACATTTTCTTTTAGTGTTATTTATTTCAAAATATATATTTAAATATTCCGTTTACCTGCTAGCAGTATTCTTCTTTCTGTCCTTCATGGCAAGCTACCCTACGATATGCTGCACATCCTTATTTCTTTAGAGCAAACAAAATGGATACCCACTCATATATGTATTCCTCCAAAGGGGACAAAACATTTTCGCGTTACTCTTACTTTCTGAATGTGTGAGGTAGAGTATTTGTCCCCTCCTTGATTTAAGTAGGAAACATAGTCAAAAGTGTGAACATGCTGTTGCAAAATAACCGTATAAACGTACTGTATGTGAAGAAATCTATACTCTCTGTTGGAACACTGGATGTATTTGACTTTTTGAATCAGGAGACAAATAAAGCTTTTCCCCTCAACAAATTCATCTGATGTTATCAAATGAAACAAAGTTTAAAGGGGCTGTCTGCAGAAAACCACAATGTCTAAACGTTGATGCATCTCATCACTATTCATCTTTTGTTCACTTAATCCCCTTCACAAAGAGGTCAGAGGTCACGGCCAGAGTTGGGTGTAACGCATTACAAAGTAACGCGTTACTGTAATAATAGTACTTATGTCGGTAATGGAGTAGTGTAACGCATTACTTTTATAATTCAGTAATTACACTACAGTTACTAACATTGCCCCGACACGCGTTACTTCGTTACTTTTATAAAATAATCACACTCACTGACAGACAAGAGGGGTTTCCGCCGCAGGTTTATATCGGTTT